GATAGATAGATAGATAGATAGATAGATAGATAGATAGATAGATAGATGAAACTTGAAAAGTGAGGAGAGGCTAGAGGGGCTAGCCTGAATTTTCACATTTACTGTTTGTTGGCCATTTGTTTGTGAGACAAGGTTTTTTGTGTAGCCCTGGAACTTGCTCAGGACTCACCAAGACTGCAGAGTGCTGGGATTAAACAACCACCAAACAAACTAAGAACAAAAACAAGACCCAAACCAACTAACCAACCAATCAAACAAACAAGCAAAGTTAAAAACACTTTGGAACCCGGGATGTCTGGTAGTACTGGGAACTCTTGGGCCAACTAGATGCCCAGCTATGAGGCTGCCCCTTAGGGAATACTAGTGGCTGAGCTACTATGGTCTTCCTGCTATTGCAAAGCATGATGGAAGTCCAAGAAAGGCACGAAGAGAAGGAAGGCTTGAGAGGCATGGAGACCTGCAGTAGAAGGGAAAAAAAAACGGCATGCCACGAGGAGACTGGGGATCAGGGCACATATAAAAATATAAGAAAGGCAAGGAACTCAAATGCAAACAGCAGCACAGAGGCAGGTTGGGATGGCTGGATATTGGACAATAAGATATGCCCCAAGATATAGAAAGTGTGTCTAGCCAGGAGGAGGTGTGATGAAGAGCATAAACAGGCCTGGACAGGAACCACACAGAAAGACTGGAGGTCAACCCACAAACACACCTATCAAGGAGGCAGCAAGGAGCCCCTGAAAGGTGGCAGAACAGTGCTCTGGTGATTTGATTGACAATGGACCCATAGGCTATGCTTGAATATTTAGGCTCAGTAGGTCAAACTGTTTAGGAAGGACTAGGAGGTGTGGCTGAAAGAGGTATGTCACTAAGGGCCTGGAGAGATGGCTCAGCAGTTAAGAGCACTGGCTATTCTTCCAGAGGACCTAGGTTCAATTCCCAAGACCCATATGGCAGCTCACAACTGTTTGTAACTTCAACTCCAGGGGAATCTGACACCTTCACACCAATGCACTTAAAATAAAAGTTAAATAATTTAAAAAAAAGCGCAAACAAACAAAGAGGTGTGTCACTGGAGGTGAATTTTGAGATTACAAAAGCCCACATAATTTCCAGTATCTCTCTCGGCCTCATGCTTGTGGATTAGTATATGAGCTCTCAGGTGTTGCTGGGACCACGCTGTTGCTGCCACCACTAACTCTCCAAAATCCTATGCCAAGCCAAACGTTTTCTTTGATAAGCTGTCTTGGTCACAGCAACAGTAAAGTAACAAAGACAGGTTCTCACTACAAGCTGTGAGCCTCAGACAAAGCAGCTGCCCTGAAGTGGGAAGCAGTTGTTTACTGCAACTGACAGAGACTCGCAAGTCAGGAGGAGCCAAGAGACTGGTCTCCTATACCTATCACTATTGGCAGTTTTAAGGTAGTATCATTTAGGTGCTGGGAACTGAACTCTGGTCTCTGGAAGAAAAATAAAGCACTATTAATCCCTGAGTCGTCTTACTATCCCCTTTTGTTTTTCTTGAAACAGGGTCTCATCCTATATCCCAGACAAGTCTGGAATATCATGCAGCCCAGGTTGGCCTCAAACTTGCAATAATTTTCCTGCCTCAGTCTCATGAGTGAGTACACAGTATGATTTCAAACACTGAGGCTCCTTAGGGAATGAGCTGATCCAGAATTGGGACAGGAAATGAAAAGAGGAACCAGGGGAAATCAGCTAGGACAAAGAACAAGAAGTATTCTAATACCAGGCGGGGCCTGCTAAAAGGATAGGAAAGTCAACTAAGAGAAGTCAAATCTGAACAACTGGAAAAACAAAATAAATGAATCAGTGTTAATGTATAGACCAAAGCATCAAATAAACACTCACGTCCTCACTGAAAATAAATGGAGTGGCAAAAGGGAAGAAATCAGAATGCTGCTTGCAACATCCACCTTGAACAGCTCCATATCCACAGCCCTGAGCAACCAACACAACAAATTAGTAGAGCTGGGTTTGGTGGGGCATGCCTTTAATTCCAGTACTAGGGAAGCAGAGGTCAAGGATCTCTGGGTTTGAAGCCAGTAAGGTCTACAGTGAGTTCCAGGACAGCCAGGGTTACATATAGAGAAACCTTGTCATGAATAACAAAAAAAAAAAAAAAAAAAAAAACCAGAGAAAACCACAAGCACTCAGTAGTATTCGTGCCTGGATGGCATGGTCAGGGTTGCAATGGGCATGATGTAGGCAATATAGACAGGAGGGAAACAGGTACTTCACTTCCACAGCAATGGGCATAGTTCAGCAATGGAAAATTTCAAACTCACAATGAGGACGAAGCAGAAGCCAATGAAATACATGTGCATACAGGACTAGGGCATGGTGCAGTGCTAACACTTGCCTAGCATTCTGAAAGCCTGGCTCCACACACAGGACCTCTAACAAAAAGTAGTGCAGAGGCACTCAGGAAGTTGAGGTAGAATCTTGAGCTCAAGGCCAGTCTGCAATGCATGAGTCTATCTTATAATAAATGATAATAAAAATGTATCAAAGTTCAAATTATGGAAATACGGATGAACTATGACAGACCAGAAGTATGGAGCCCTAACAACTGAGCCTGGACCGAGTCACAAACATTAAGAGAAAATTAGTGGAAGTGACTGAGGTTAGAGTGCACTCTGGGGTGCCATGCCAGTGGTGGCCCTCAACAGTGACTGAGCCTGAGGTACAAAGACGCATTAAAGGGGAACTGAGAGGTAAGTGTGAGGGCCTCTCAGTGAGTCTGCGACTGCTGTCATCCACCACCAGAACAAAAGGATGAAATTTCACGAAAGGAATAAAGCAAATGGAGAAAGAGGCAGCTCTTCCTAGTGGAGAAGTACAGTAAGCACTTGAAGAAGGAACTGTGTCTGAACAGCCCTGCAACAATCACTGCTGGCAAGACTCATACTGTGCCTGCTGTGATGCTTCAGCAGCAGAGAAAATGGGGCATCAGCTCGAGCCTGGTGGCTACAACTAGACATTTAACTAACAACAAAGGGAAATACTCAGCATGACAGTGAAAGCACCTGGAAGGTACTTGGAAGCTGGGTCGAGGTTGCCATCCCCCGTGGAAGAACACAACCCTCAGAGACTTCATATAAACCCTAACCAAGAGATAAACTTTCTGTTCAAGTCCCAAAAATGACAAGTTTGTAAAGAACTAAGATTTGAGACTAGTGACTCTGGATGAACATATGGTTGAGGTAGACTGCTTGTTCATTTCCCGATTGCTCAGACCTGAATAATCACATGGAAACTGTATTAATTACAACATTGCTTGGCCAATAGCTTAGGCTTCTTATTAACTAACCCTTACATCTTAAATTAACCCATTTCTATCAATCTATATATTGCCACGAGGCTGTGGCCTACTGGTAAGGTTCCTAAGTTTCCAGTGTGTCCTCCTTCATGCCCTTCTACATGGCTTCTCGCTGTGTGTTTGTCTGTCTGTCTCTCTCTCTTCTTTCTCTCCTGACTTCCTGTCTGGCTTTATTCTGCTAAGCCACTGGCCCAAACAGCTTTATTCATTAACCAATGGTAATAAAAACATATTCACAGCACACAGAGGGGGAATCCCACATCATATGGTGGTGGTGCTCCGGGGCTGCACTCTAGGATGAGGCCAGGCACACACAGAGACAAGAGAATCAGACTATCTGCCTAGGCCAGGGACTGACTCAGGGTCAGAAGTGTAACACAGGCTGGGCCAACAAGATCTAGTCCAAGGCAGGGTTGAGGCAGATGAACTGCTTTAAGCCATCAGATTTCTAGCCTGCTGAAACCAAGAAGTGGTGAGTGGGAGACTGCAGGACAGCAGAACGTATAGGCACCTGTGTCGTATATACCAAGCTAAGGTGTACCGTAAGAGGACACTGGGCCCTACACAGGGCACAATGCGTATAAGAGAGTACAAAAGCTTTTGCTTAAGAGTCAAAAGTAGTTCTACCATTCCCCCAGGAGGAGCAAAGAGCCACTGAAGAAATCTAGAGCTGACCCATGGGATATGGGTGGGCTCCACACACCTGCCTTCAGTTAGAGGCAGATAGCAATGGGCTGACGTGTGTCTCCCAAACAGATGTACTGCAGCCCTCATACTCAGAACTCAGACATGACTGAAACAGGGTCTCGTCCTAGTCTGAACCTAAGAGACAGAAATGTAAAGGCGGACAGAAGGTGGCCACGATGTGAAGACAGCTGCAAGAAGGCCACAGAGAAGCTCCAGACAAACCCCATGCCACACTCTGGACAATCCACTTCTACCCTGCAGGAAAAAGAATCCCCTGCTGCACCCAGACTGCGACCAGAGTCAAGGTCATACATACGAGAGAGGCACAATGATGAGGAAGGGCCCGTTGATGCGCTTGTGCTCCATGAGGTATGTGATGAGCGCGATGGTTTGGATGGTCTTTCCCAGCCCCATCTCATCAGCCAGGATGCCATTCAGGTTGTTGTTATACAGGGACACCAGCCACTCTAAGCCCTTGATCTGTAAGGGCAGAAATGTGAGACCATGTTCACACAACAAATATGCCACCTGTAGCTACTCTTCCAGGCTCTCTCCCATGGACCGCCCAATTTTCCTTCTGTGCTCACCCCAGCCATACTTATTGTGAAAGCACAGGGGACTGTGCTAAAGATGGTTATAGTATTTTTTTTTTGTTTTATTTATTTATTTTTGTTTTTTTGAGATAGGGTTTCACTGTGTAACAGCCCTGGGTGTCCTTGAACTCACTCTGTAGACCAAGCTAGTGTCAAACTCACACAGATTCACCTCCTCTACCTCCTGAGAGCTGGGATTAAAGGCGTGCACCATCACTGCCCAGCTATTTATTTTTTAAATGGAAGTCATCTCCGCATTTACTGCCACTTGACAATAATGCAAGAGCTATCAAAAGAATAAGACCGTTTCATGCTGTGCTTCCAGCAGAAAACACCTTTAAACCACTGCTGCCTCCTGCATGTCTTACTCTATGACCGCTAGTTAGGACATGCTGTGGTGTCTGTCACAGGCTCTCCTGTCAGCATGATTCAACTCAGTTGCTTTCTTGCCTTTGTTGTAGACTGAATCTCTTCTGCATCATGTATTATATTCATACAAACCACTAACTAAACCCTCTCTTTCAATTGTTCATAAAGCACACCTGAATCCCAGAGCTCCTTTACAATTATCTGAAGATGAGGCTGGGAGCTGCACAATTACATTCTGGTCCTGGCCAAGGTAAGCCATGGTAAGCCAAGGTAAGACCACACAAACGAGATGCCACCTCAGAAATTGATCTATTAATAAATGAATTTTAATTGTTGTAGACTTATTTCATATTTTATGTGTGTGAGTGTTTTGCCTGTATGTATGCATGCATCACATGTGCCTGGAGCTTGTGAAGGACAGAAGAGGGCATTAGATCCCCGGAGACTGGGCTTAGATTTGAGCCACTATGTGGGTGCTGGGAATCAAACTGAGGTCCTCTACAAGAGCAACAATTGCTCTTAACCAATTGAGCCATCTCTTCACCTCTAAATACTTTAAGACAGGATTCAGGCCATGGATTAGGAAAGAGAAGCTCAGAAGTAAGACAATGCTCAAGAGTGGGCAAGGAGACCTCATGGGCTCTTAAGTGTGGGCAAATCTGACCTAAAACTTCTGCTTTGAATGTGTGTGATGTACAGATCGTGTATGAATGCATGGTATGTGTGTGGAAGCCAGACACTGTTTATCAGTGTTCCCTGTCACTCGCAGCTTCCTCAATATTTACTAAGACAGGATCTCTCACTGAACCCAGAACTTAATGATTTGGCAAGACCGGCAAGCCAGCTTGCCCTGGAGATGATGTCACCATCACCTTTGCTTTTAGTTCTTCAAGACAGGGTTTCTCTGTGTAGCTCTGGTTGCCCTAGAAAAGCTCTGGGGCCTTGAACTCACTGAGATCCACCTGCCTCAGCATCCTGAGAGCTGAGATTAAAGGCGTGTACCACGACCACCTGGCCTAATCCTCATTTTTAAGTAGCAAGTGCTTTATCAACTCAGCCATGCCCCTAGCCCACTACCTAAAACCTTCTCATTCTCAGGAGTGTGGTGGGGCTTGGACAGATGTATAGTGGACTAAAAGAGTGAATGGCTAGCTCTCAAGAGTCAGCAGCACTGCCTGGCACGGAACAATGGACCACACAGAAAAGCCTGCCACTCCATGGGATACTTCAATGCCAGAACCATTAGTGCTTCAGAGGAATGTGAGATGAAAACATCAAATGACCAATGACTACCTAAATGTTATTGTAATGTTAATAACGACAGGAAAGTTGAAGAGGTGATAAAGGGATACACTGCTTGCCTACTCACACAAGTCCATGGGTTCCAACCCCAGCACCACACACAAAAATTTATTACATGAATGTATTACATGTGTGTGCACTTGTGTGTCAGTCAAAGAACAACTTGCACTAGGCGGTGGTGGCGCACGCCTTTAATCCCAGCAATCGGGAGGGAGAGACAGGTAGATCTCTGTGAGTTCGAGGCTAGCCTGTTCTATAAGAGCTAGTTCCAGGACAGACAGGGCTACACAGAGAACTCCTGTCTTGCAAAACAAACAAACAAAAACAAAAAAAACCCAACGAAACAAAAAGAACAACTTGAAGAAATGATGCCTTCTACCATGAGAGTGTAAGGGATTGTACTGGAGTTGCCATGTTTGGCAGCAGGCATCATCACGTACTGAACAATCTTGCAGCCTTCTCCCAGAGGCTTTAATTTTTTTCTACTTTGTTTTTGTTTTTAAATTTGAGACAGGATCCCACTGTGTATCTCTGGCTGGCCTGAAGCTCACTATGTAGATCAGGCTAGCCTTAAATTTACAAAGATCTATCTGCCTCAGTCTCCCAAGTGCTGGGATCAAAGATTTCTTTTTTGGTTTTTCAAGACAGGGTTTCTTTGTAGCTTTGGAGCCTGTCCTGGAACTAGCTCTTGTAGACCAGGCTGGCCTCAAACTCACAGATCCGCCTGCCTCTGCCTCCCGAGTGCTGGAAGTAAAGGCATGTGCCACCACCACCCGGCTCTCAGGAATTTCTTTGTGTGTGTGTGTGTGTGTGTGTGTGTGTGTGTGTGTGTGTGTGTGTGTTTTGAGAGAGTGTAGCTTTGCTGTACTAGAACTAGAGCTATAGAAAAGCCTGGCCATCTGGCCATAAACTCAAAGAGATCTGCAAACCTCTGCCTTCTGAGTGCTGGATGGGATTAAGGGTGTGCACTAAGGCCCTGCACAGGCTTTTTTTTTTTTTTTTTTTTTAATAGAGGATTTTTCAAAGCATGGAAGCTTTCCAACTGAATATAACATAAGGAAAAAAGTTTGGACCTTTTTTTTTTTAACACATTAGGCAGGACCTGGGCAACTTGCAATGTTATTAATTAATTACACTGGCCTGTAGCGTTCCAGTGAATGCTGATTTGCCTCTGGAAGCTACGTAGGCATAGAGTCTAAGAGTTCTCCTAGGAAAAGTGGGCAAGAACAGAGGCCACAACCAAACAAAAGCAGGAAAATAAAATCTATGGATGGAGTGAGTTTGGCTCCCTTTTAGCATCTCAGAGATGAGACTACTCTCAGACATGGAAAAAGAATTTCCCAGCCAGGCTGGTCTTCTTGCCTTTATAGAAACCCTCCCACAATAAGGGCCATTCCTCTGCTCCCAGAACAAAGTCCTGCGCAGAGGTCCAGGTGACTATGGGTCTTGAGGTGTGATACAGAGTATACACACGAGGCCCGTCCCACATTGAAAGGCTAAGTCCTTTGTGAATATAATGCTCCGCTGCCTGAGGCACCTGTGGCTTACTGAAGTTTTAATACCTTCTGGCAACTAACCTTTCTGACCTTAGCTGCTTTAGACCAGGAAACTACCTGGGTTTAGTAATATACACCTTTCATTAGGCAGGGGCAGATGGATCTCTGTTGAGTTTGAAGCCAAAGTGGTTTACAGCATGAGTTCCAAGCCAGCCTGGGACACACGGTGAGACAAACCCTGTTTCTGAGAAAACAAAAATTGTGGTTCTTCAGGAAAAGTAAGTGTTGCCTAAGTATAGTCACCCGTCATCCCTGCTGCCTCCTGCCTTACCTGGTACTGTTTGAGGACACCGTTGACCATGAGGGCTGACTGCTTGTCCACTCTCTCTGTGACAGCATGGGCCACAGCATAGTAGGACTGCAGACCACGAGCAAGGGCCTGGGACACACCGTACTCATCATCCACATCTTGCTTGGCATTCCTGGAGGGGACACAAGCTGTGTGAAGATACACACTCCTTTCTGTGATAATATACTTCCATTAGCTTGAATTAGCTGCCTCTGTCTGTGACTTACGGGTTAAACTGCGAGAAACACAGAGGTGGGAATCACAGTGAAACTAGCAGCTGATCCCAACCTAAGGACCAGACGATTGCCTCTGACACGCCACAGGCTGGTGAAGGTCCTCCCACTCACCACAACAGGAGGTACTGGGGCTTAGGAGCAGCTGCTCACAGAACCAGCACTTTGTACCTGTGTGCTTTTTGAGATCCAACCTGAACTCACTTTGCTGCTGTTTACATCAATCTTTATCTTCTTGCGACAGGGTCTCAGTAAGTAGCTCTAGCTGGCCTTCAATTTGTCATCCTCCTGCCTCAGTCTCCCATTTCAGGACTGGTTCAAGATTCTTTTCTTCATTTTACATTCTGAGGTTTTAAGAGACCATTTATTTTTATGAAAGGTGTACATGAGCCAACACATACATGTGGAAGTCAGAGACAGCTCACTCCTTCCAAATTTGGGAACCAAATTCAGGTTACCAAGATTAACATCAAGGACCATTACCCGTCATCTCACTGGTTCTTCACTTTTCTTGTTCTTCCTTTTTTCTTTCTTTTAAAGACAGGGTCTCACTATTGTAGCCATGGCCAACCTGAAACTAGCTACATAGACCATGTTGGCCTTGAACTTGTTGCAATCCTGCCTCCTGAGTGTTGGCATTACAGCCATCCAGTTCATTCCAGGCTCAATAAATTCTTTTTCTTTTTTTAAAGATTTGATTTTTAATTATGTGTATATGAGTTGGAGGGGTCTTGTGCTTATGAGTACAGACGCCTGACAAGGCCACAAGGTGGTACTGAATACTCTGGAGCTTAAGTTACAGGCAGTTGTGTAACTCTGGACACTGGTACCAGAAATCAAACTCAGGTACTTGGCAAGAGCAGTATGTGTTTCTGATTGCTGAGCCGATCGTTGGTCCCACTTTTTCTAACAATTAAAAATCAGTAGTGTATGGGTGGCATATGAATGTGTCACCAAGTATATGAATTAAAGGGAATCAAGCTCACATGGTTAGGATTGGCAGTACTTTTTACCAGGAGTCATCTTAATGGCTCCTTATTTTTCATTTATAGTGATTTAAACTGCATGATGTGGCTATACTCACCTATACCTCCAGCATTCAGGATGGAAAATAATTTCAGGATTGAAACCAGCCTGGGCAATAGAATGATATCTCATCTCAAAATTTAAAAAAAAAAAAAAAAGGTCAAAGTCAGGTATAGTGGCACACATTTGATCTTGCCTCTCAGGAGGCAGAGGCTGATGGATCTCTGTGAGTTTGATGTCAGCCTGGTTTACACACTAAGTTACAGGACTGCTTGAGCTACACAGTGAGATTCTGTCTCCAAAAAATCCCAAAAACTGTAAAATAAAAACAAAAAAAAAAAACAGAGAGTAGTTCATGTTCAAGTCTATCTCTACTACAAAAATAAATAAATAAATAAATAAATAACAGAAATTTCAAGTGATTTAAATTCACTACCATTAACACATGAATCCCAATGCTCTTGATGTGGCAGATGTGCATCCACGCACTGTGTCACTGTGTACTATGCTGCTTCGTTCTCATCTTTTTAGCAAATAGCTACAGCCAGGTACGATGGCACCAGCATATAATCCTGGCAATCCAGAGGAAGAGGCAGGAGGATCTATGTGTTCCAGGGTAGCCTAGTCTACATGCCGAGTTCCAGACTAACCAGAGGTAGACAGTGAAACTCTGGATAAAAACTCCTAGGGAACAGTCACATTAAGCTATCGTTTTCTTACTTGATGACTGCTTTAGAAAAGGTCTCATGTGTGCGCACGTTAAAATGTGTATGTCCCCATGTATAAGGAGGACCAAGTGTTCTTCGATTACTCTCCACTCAACAAGGAAGAATCTTTAACTTTGAATTCAGAGCTCACTAATATGGATAGTCTAGGTAGCCAGTGTGACTTGGGGATCCTAGCTCGCTGACTTCCATGAAGTGGAACTACAGGCAGACCATCTTGTCCACCCAGCACTAACGAAGGTGCCAGGAACCCACAATCTAGTTCTCATGCTTCCTGTGTGTAGATCAAGCACTTTCCCTACTAAGCCATGGATGTCTCCAGCCCTTGGAGGGGAGGTTCTTCTCATGTAGATTTGAAAGTAGAGGTTGAACATTCTTTTTCTTTCTTTCAAAATCTCTTTTTTTCATTTTTTTTAAAAGGAAGACCTATCTATTTTATGTGTATGACTACTTGCCTATATGTATGTCTGTGTACTGTGTATGTGCCTAGTACCCATGGAGGTCAGAGATCCCCTGAGGTTGGAGTTACACATGGTTATAAGTAACCATGTAGGTGTTGGGAACTGAACCCAGGGCCTCTGCAAAGGCAAGAGAACTGGCTAGTTCTCTAGTCCCCCTAGGTCAAGCATTTATTTCTTCTTCCTCTTTTTTTGTTTTTGTTTTTTGAGTTGAGATTTCTTGTGTAGTCCTGGATCTCCTGGACTCAATGTTCATTGAGTTCTCCTGGAATTCAATGTTTAGACCAGGCTAGCCTTGGAGCGCTGGGATTAAAGGCATGTGCACACCACCTGGTCGAGCAGTTCTTCATCTGAAATTTTCTTGTGTTTAAGATTTTGGAGTTCTTTTCAGTTGGTGGAATATCTATATAAAATTTTTTTTAAGTAAATCTTTATTATGTAGAGTGTTCTGCACTGTGTATCTGGAGGCCAGAAGAGGGTGAGAGATCTCATTACAGATGGTTGCTGGGAATTAAACTCAGGACCTCTGGAAAAGCACTCAGTTCTCCTAACCTCTGAGTCATCTCTCCAACCCATCTATATAAATCTTAAATAATTTCACAGTTCCCAATCACGAAATACAACAGTACTGTGAAAATGGAAACATTTGGAATTTGGAACATTTCAGATTTGAGTAACTCAGCTTTTATCTTATTTCTCTATAATGGTCCCCCATCAACTTCTCACACTAAAGAGATCAAATCTTAATTAATTTTTAACTGTGCTTCCAAGAGCAAATTTTTGTAGAAGAGAGAAACTGCATGCCCTGCAGCAGGGGTGAGTCCAGAACAGAGAGCAGATCATGTAAGTGCACAAGACAGCAGCAGCTCTCTGCATCTGCAGCCACAGGGCCACACCCCAGACAGATGCTTACTGACAAGAGATGCATACCACTGTCTATATATTTGTGTGCAAACAAAACAAAAAGGAGAGAATGCAGCTAATCTCTCTGGAAGATGATACAGGCTGGACACAGGCTTCTTGAAGGAAACATCAGGAGGCTGCTGGAACAAGAGAAGATGTGCAAGTCTGTGTTCTCACCCAACTATACTTTGAAAGCATATGATGAACAAGGAATCATTTTCTATAGCAAATCACTATAGAGACAAATGAAATCTGTATGGTCAACACTGGTTGCTGACAGAACTGGGGAATGACACCTAAGGAGAGGATGTCTAAGGCCAGTCTAGGTTATGTAGTAAGATCCTGACACAAAATAAAAACAATGGAAAGGGAAAGCCTGGGACTCTGGCCACTTGTTTTGGTGCCACTTTATAGAGCTTGCAGGTGAGGACAAATTGGGACCCCTTACTCAATAATGTGTCGCGCATCCACCTCAGAGACGTCATCACTGTCTGGGTCTGGAATCTTCTTCTTCTCCTCCACAGGCAGTGTAGGGGGCTGTGCAGGTTGAGGCTGCTCTTCTTCCTCCTCCTACCAAGAGAGGTGCCATGTCACCCAGTATCCCTAGCTTGATTCCCTAGTATCCTGCTGGGCTCCCAGTGAAGAGATGCTCGTATAGCCTTGTTCCCCCCAGTCCATAGTGTCTGTCTTAACTGTCCTTCCCTTTGAACAGCTAGATAAATGACTTGAGTTCACAAGTTTCACAGCAGGTTGCATGTTTTTTGCAAGGGTACCTTGGGGCGTTTCTATACCTGTTGCTCTCCAATCAGACTCCACATAGCTCCTCGAGTCATGCCAAACCTTTAGTGTCTACCAACTCAAGTAGCTTTCCAGTTTATAACTGACCTCACTGAACATGCTTGTGCATTACCTCCAGTTCTACGGACAGGCTCTCACTCATCTGGAGACAACAGGTATCTTTCCAATACTTGTAAATTGACTGAATGTTACCTTCCTTAAAGGGACTCCTTGCGGTTACTGAGCAGGTAACACTCGGACTCTGCATAGCATGTTCAACAAATACAGTAATGCATTTCCCAGTACTGAGCCATTCTTGTTCTGCATGAACCATAGCAAATTCTTCTCCTCTACTATCACAGAATTGTTACAGAGATTTTTAAATATTGTATGTAACTGCCACATGCCTCTAACCCTGGCTACACAGGAAACTGTAGAATACAGACTATAAGTTTGAGTCGTCTGGGCAATATAGTTGGATCTTGTTTTGAATTAAAATTAACAGCCAGGGCTATAGCTCAGTTTTAAAGTATCTGCCTAGCATGTGTGGCAAGGTTCAATCTCAATGGTACAAAATGCATGTGTTATTTCATAACTATCTGCTAAACTGTTCTAATAAAACTCTGACAAACTTTTCCCTGCACCATGCAACATAACTCCAGATCACTGAGGATAAGGAGGTTGCTAACACCAACAAGTTTGGAAAAGCAGCAGCCACCCAATGAGTCACAGCATGGCTAGAATTACACAGGAGTTGGTCAAACAGCTAAAGGAGGAGGAGGAGGTCAGGCTATTCCCTTTCTAGAGACATGAACTGAGCAATATTGAAAAAATGGCTATTCAAGCTCCAAGAGTTAGGCAGGGCATAGCTCATTCTAACATTCATCATGGAAATGCTATTAACTTCTGGGGAAAACAGGGCACAAGGCTGCAGCTTATTTATTTGGAACACTTCAACTAGCCCGCCCATTCCCAATATGAAGTCTGCTGTGCTAGGCAGCCATGGAGACGAACAAGGCTGACAGGTTCTATAACCAGTCTGGTAGAAATAAAAATACTCTACAAAAAAATAAACATATAATTGTGTCTCTCAGTCTATCAGACTACTGAAACAACAGATTCCAAAGAATGGGAAGTTCCCTAGGCATCTCCTGCTGGGAGAAAGGAACAGCACCAGTCACAGGAGCAACTGATCTTCCAGAAAGATTCACCCACTTGTCAGGCCACCTTACAGAATAAAATGGAAGCTAAAAACAGTGATATCTGGGACCATACCATGATAGGTACTGACTGGACATGTACAACCTTCATCCTCTATTTAAACTCTGATCTCATTTTTGGACCCCGATGATGGGTTTAAGGGCTTTGTTGGTTCACTTGTCCCTGTTCCCAATGTGGCCACATTGAATAAATCTTTCTGCTTTCCACTTTTAATGGGGTTCTTTTCACTGGAGCATTGAGAACAGGTGTGGCCAGACTTAACTTGGGACACAAGTTGTGACTCAAGTTTGAGGACATTTCTACCCATTTGGCAGCAATGAAGTCCTGCCTGCCCCTGGCCGAAATGGTTGTAATCTCAGCAAGGATGCTGGAATATGCTACTATATAGTGAAGATGTGCATGTGACTGGTGGAGTTCACATGAGCAGAGACAAAAGGGCCTTAGGAAAGACTAATCTGGAGGGCATTCCCCTGTGCACACAGCCATGTTTGCATACAATTTCATCCAGATTGCCACAGGATTTATCACTCATATGTGAAAGAGAAACAGAGCCTTTACTTAGGGAGCCAGGAATTGAACTAGGAAAATAAGGTGAGCCAAGCCAAAAGTGGCAGCAACCACCATGAAGAAAGCAAGAGTTCCTAGAATGAACTCAGGGATGCTATCCCCCCACAGATACCTGCCACTTTTGGTTAGCTTTGGTCAACCCAATACCAACTAGAGTCATGTGAGAAGGGACTCTCAACTGAGTGGTATCAGATTGGCCTGGGGCTGTGTTTGTGGGATGTTTTTCTTTATCACTGATTGATGGGCGAGTGCTCAACCACCCTGGAGACAGGTGGCATGGAGGTGCTTTGGGAGTCTAGAAGCAAGCCAGTAGCCAGGCTCCTCTGCGGTCCGCTTCACTCCTGGAGCTCCCGCCCTGAACTACCTCAGTGACAGACTGTGCTCTGGAAATTGTAAGAGCAAATGAACCCTTTCCTCTCCAAATTGTTCTAGGTCACGGTGTTTATCACAGCAACAGAGAAATCTAAGACAGGTACCATGATTCTGGACAGGGTAGAGGTCATAATCGTTCAAAGGAGCTAACTGGGAGTCTCTGAGTTTGAGGCCAGTCTGGTCTACATTCTAAGACAGTCTCAAAAAACAACAGAGCTAAGTAAATAAACAAGAAATAAAGGCTGTCAGGTGTTCCAGCCTCTTTTCACATACAGTGAAAGGTAACCAAGCCGGAGTAACTACAAGAGTGTGCAAAGTTGTTGGAGGAGTTAGGCTTCTGCTCAGTCAACGAACACAGAATCAAGAACAATGAGATTGGTTTGTCAAAGAACTCTGACAAAACCAAAATAATTCACAGACAAGTCAGGGACACAACAAGAAGGATAAATATCAATACAGCTTTGTATGAAGGCCACTAAAAAGTCAAAGACAGATAATCTATAACGCAAGAGAGACAAACAATTGGGTGGTGGTGGCAATAAAAAAGAGAACTGATATAGTAGGTGGCTGAATTCTCATCTGAAACAAGAGGCCAACAAAAAGGCTACTAAATGGTCTGAGAAGTTAAAAGTATATACTGCTCTTGTAAAAGAGTCAAGTTCAGTTCTCAGTGTTCATGTCAGGCAGTTCATGGCTGCCAATAGCTTTAACTCCAGGGTCTGTGACATCCTCTTGCATTTACAAGTCACAACTGCATATAGTGATACATGAACATGCACAGAAACAAAAACAATTAAACAAAAAGGTTAACCAAGAGTGGAATCACAATGTTCAAACTGCTTGAAAGAGGAGGAAGCAGGCAAGAAGTTATCAACCACTATCTATATGTTCAACTAAACTGTCCTTCCAAAGTACAAAAACACCCCAGAAAAAAAAAAAAAGACTGAATAGCATCTGCTGCTGGCAGATAGGCCTTATTAAATTTCCTTAGAGGGCTGGGGTGTGGTTCATCGGTAGAGCACTTGCCTGTATGCATAAGGTCCTGGGGGTCAACCCAGCAGACGTGAAAGATTTAGAATCAAACAACCACTAACACAAATTTCAAGACACAAAACTGAAAGGCAGGCTCCCAGATAATTTAAATCCATGGAAAGAAGCAGCACCTGAAGAGACAACAGAGATGAGAGCCCACTGCACACTCATGAGGCCTTGTCATGCTAACACCTGCACACACACACAGGCATACACTCGCACAGACACAGATAAAATAAATTCTTGGAAAACAACCCATAAATAGCATCAGAAATGGTAAGTATATAGATTGATGTAAAAGGCTATAAATATACTTTCTTCTATTTTTTTCTATGCTAACATCTTTCAAAGGATTCAGAGTGCATAAAGCATTAATTTCAAAAATACTGTGCTACATCTCAGCACTCAGGAAGTGAGACAGGAGGATCACAGCTTCACAGTCAGTGGGAGTGTCACATCCACTGGAGGGGGCCACCACAAACCTATCTCAAAAATCCAACCTAAAAACTAATGTAATGACATAAGATGCCTACTGTAATGAGTGATTACAAAGAAATTACTATATAAAAGCATAGCTCAAATGAAAATTTGCAGAAAAGCAAAGTAAGCAAACTGATAAAAGACAGTACCAGGAAAGGAAGAATAAAAAAAAGATTGGGAAGAAGGAAGGAAGACAGGTAGGTAGAGCCGTGCTGGTGATGCACACCTGAAGCCCAGCACTTGGAATTGTCATGAAGTGAGGGCAGCTTGGAATATAAAGCAAAACTGCCTCAAATGCTCACCTGCACAAACATACAAGAACAAAGATGGGAAAATTAAAAAGAAATCAAATTGACCAATAGCACAGTGGTTTGTAAATGTTACATAAGCCTCCAATCCAAGTTTTATGCCTGGAGACCACTGTATGAGAGACCTAACTGCTGCAAGCTGCCCTCTGATTTCCAAATACATATGGCATGTATGCCTGCCCTCATCCACACAAATCATACACATGTGATAACAAATTTTTTTAAAAAGTTCAGATTTGATGACAAAAAAACTAAAACACTGGGATTCTGAGTCTGGATCCCCACCCACTGGGCAAGTCTGTCCCTTTGTGTGCTATGTGTATGTGGACATACTTCTCTTTTGAATAAAACTTCCCTGAGAGCCAAAATATATAAATATAAAATAGTTGCTGGAGCTAGGGCTCAGTGGTAGAGAGTACTTCCCTAGAATGCGTGGGGCCTTTTCCAACCCCAATATCAAAAACAAAAACACATTAGAGAAGGCAGAGGCAGGTGGATCTCTGAATTCGAGACCAGCCTGTTCTATATAGCAAGTTTCAGGACAGCTAGAGCTATTATAATAGAGAGACCTTGTCTCAAAAACACAAAAAAGCAAACAAAAAAACAAATCAAACTCATTAAAATTTCAGAGACACACAATAATGCTTATCTAGCATGTATAAGGCCCTAGGTTTCTGGAGTGGGAAAATTGAAAAGTAACATTTATGAAGTCAGGAGTCATGGCATGCAACTATAATTACCAATACTTAGGAGGCTGAAGCAGGGGGATTTAGAGTTTGAAGCAATCCTGGCCAAATAGTTCAAAGCCAGCCTGAGTTATACATAGTGAGAGACAATCTCAAACCAAAGTTTATGAAATGTAGATCAAGGATGGATAGTGTTAAACATAGAGGTTTAAACACTATTTATATCCCAAAACAGCCTTACTCTCATCAATAATTTAAGTCTAGATCAATCAACAAAGTGCGACAAATCACTAAAGAACCAAAATCCAGAATGCAGAAATCATCACCTCTGACCCTACAGTATGATAAAGGTGATTAGAAACCATTAAACACAACTGGAGATTGGGAATACAGCTAGGCGGGTAAAGCAGTTGCACACAAGTGTGAGGACCTGAGTTCAATCTCCAGAACCCACATAAAGTCAGGTACAGCAGTACATATCTGTAATCCCAGTGCTCCTAAGGTGAGTTGGGAGGCAGAGATAGAAGAATCCCTGGAACCTTGGGGGCCAGCTCACCAGGAATACATAGCAGTCAACAAGAGTCCCATTCTCAAGGTAGAGAAAAAGATGACATCTCAGGTTATCACAACTTCTACATAGGCACTGCTGCATGTATGTATATACATCTATGTATATATACATACACAGAAAAAGAGTAAGAAATCAAGCATACTAGAAGACATTTGTAAATTATACACTAGGTCAGAACCATGTTTAGAATAAATAAGGTCTGAGAGCTCATTAGAATGGAAGCCCAAGTAAAACCAGGCAAGACTTGAAGAGACTTCCCCTGAGGAAGATGGATGGATGGATGGAGCACATGTGCATATGAGGATGCTTAACATCACTACTTACTAGGGTAACGCAAATCAAAACCAAATGAGATGCCACCACACACCCACTAAAATGCTCATAAGGAAAAGAAAAGACAACACCAAGTGTTGGTGAGGACACGAAGAAACCAGAACCCATAAAACAGTACAGTCATTTTGGAGAATAGTTGGCAGTCTCTTAGAAAGTAAACATAAACTTACCACATGACCCAGCAATTCCACGCCTAGGAATCTACCCAAGAAAAATGAAAACATATGTCCACACAAAACATGTTTGCAAATGTTCACGTTATTCATCATAGTAAAACTGGAAATTTAAATGTCACTCAATTGGTGGATGGATAAACAAAAAATGGTATAGTCATACAATGGAACACAACGCAGCAATAAAAAGAACAAGTTCTTGGTACACACCACACATGGATGGACCTCAATAACATGCTACACAATGGTGCTCCAACTCCATTTGCAGTGTATCCACAAATGGTTAATCTAGAGATGGAAAGCAGATTGATGAGCTGGGTATGAGGGTGCACTGTTGTAATCCCAGTAGTTAGGAAGACAGTGAGTTTGAAGCTAGCCTGGGCTATACAGGGAAACTCGTACAACGAGAAATAAAAAAGCAAAAAACAGTTTTGTGGCATCCTGGGACAAGAGGGGAGGAAAAACAGACAATCACAGACAGCTTAAGGGTTGCTTTCTGGCTAACCACACATTCTAACACACTGGTGTGAGGGGCTGATTCACAGTCCCAAATGTTCACTAAGAAATTAGACTTCAAGGAAGCTGTTTAGATTAGAACAAAGCGTTCTCGGCTGGGCATGCTAGCACACCTACAACTCTAGCTAGCATTCAGAGGCAGGAGGAATGTACCAGAATATGTAAAATAGTTAAAAACCCTATCTTAAACAAACAAACAAACAAACAGATTACGTGTGTGTGTGTGTGTGTGTGTGTGTGTGTGTGTGTGTGTTCACCTAAGACTGGGGAGACTCTTAGGGAGACAGGTGGCACTCAAGACTCCAGCTGACATAGAAACCACAAGTCCTCTAACATAGCACCACAACTCATGAGGGGAAAAGCTGGAGAAGATGGCACACCATCCACCTAACGCTGTGGGGAGAGGAAGGGAAACATAAAACCCAGGGAGCAAGGGCGAGAGTCATCAAGAGGCATGAGCAGAACACTGGGTGGCTGCCGCACATCTGGAACAAGCACACGAGACTACTAAGTCAAAGCACTGACAAAGAATGAGCAAAAGCAGCAAAGCATTCAGAGGAGTGATGCTGAGTGCTTGAAATATGGCTGGTACAACTGAGGAAATGACTGAAACTGAATTGGCCCTAAATGGAAACAGTCCACAGGTCAGCAAAGCTGTGAAGCACCCATTCCAGCCAAGCCCAGGGTCTCAGCTGCAACTGTTACACCATGCCCAGCCAGCACACAGGGCACAGGGGGCATAGTCCACAGGGTGATGGGCATAAACAAGGTGGAAGGCCCAATAACAGGAAAGATAAAGCAGCCTCTTACCTCCTCCTCCTCTTCAGAGCCACTTTCTTCACTATCTGACCTGGGAGCAACTTCATACCTGGGAAAAACAACAATGATTAGATGCAGAGCCCCTGCAAGGAGCGGCTTTACTCTCCCTAAAACCTGGTCTGATCCCCAAACACAAGCATTATCGTCCCAGCTGCCAAGTTCCAGGAGGCACCCAACTCACCCTGGGTTCATCTCAAGCCACGCTTCTAGCTGCCCAGCTTTTGGGGCATCTGTGCCTGTGAGGATCTTGCCACTCTCTACATGGATCACCTTCACAGGGAGGTCGCTCATCTGGCTGGTCTCATCCAGAGGCTGAAAGAGAGTGACTGTCATGACCAATGGCTTCCCAACTCCCACCCTGGGATCCAAAAAAGTCACTTAGAAGGGCTGTAATCCTAGCTGTTGGGAAACTGAAAAAGAGATCCAAAGTCTCTGAGACCAGTATGAACTACATAGTATCAGAAAACAAAAGGAGACACAGATCACTTTAGAAAGGTTAAAAGTAACCAGGCAGTGGTGAATGCCCTTAATCCCAGCTCTCAGGAGGCAGAGGCAGGTGGATCTCTGAGTTTGAGGCCAGCCTGGCCTACAGAGTGAATTCCAGCAAAACCAGAACTACACAGAGAAATCCTGCCTCAAAAACAAAAAACAACAAAAAAAGGGTAAAAGTGCTGAGGCCCAATACTTTATCCTAAAATTTTAATCAAAGTATCCTAAAGTGAGTCTGAGTCTTAGTTATCTAAATTGTTTTTTAAATTAATTATTCTATGTGTATGGTTATTTTGCTTGCATGTATGTCTGTTTACTATGTATGTGCCTAGTGCTTCCAGAAATACCTAAAAGAGCGCATTAGATCCCCTAGATTGAATTACAGCAGCCATGCCAGTGCTGGGAATCAAACCCAGGTCCATTGTGAGACAAATCAATGATCCCAACTGCTGAGCAATCTCTCCAGCCCCTCATGAGGCTGGGAACAAGCCCCAGTGACACTGGTACCATAAACTCACACGAAGAAGCACTACAGTGCTGCCTTATCATGATTCCCCTGAAGCTTAGTTTTCCAAAGCAAGATAGCTATCTTAAATTCCCCACATGGCGGAGAGTAAGTCGCTTTGTGCTTTAAGCACAGTGGCTCACACTTGTAATCTCTGTGGTCTGGAGGCTCAGGCAAGAGGATGAAGCACGCTGGGTGGTAGCGGCACATGCCTTTAATCCCAGCACTCAGGAGGCAGAGGCAGGCAGAGCTCTAGTAGTTCGAGGCCAGCCTGGTCTACAAGACCTAGTTCCAGGACAGGCTCCAAAGCTACAGAGAAACCCTGTCACGAAAAACAAAAACAACAAACAAACAAACAAAAAACAAAATAAAAAAGAGGCGGAGGCAGGAAAATTACCAGCCTGAGCTAGATGGTAAGACCTTGTTTCAAACAATACAAATAAGATACAACTACCACAAAGTGACTTTGTGCTGTAATGTGCCAGCCCACATTCTTTTATAGTAACTCAAGAGAACATCTGTGCTGGCTAATGTTCTGTCAATATGACAGAAGCTAAGGTCATTTGAGAGCAGAAAACTCAATGAGCACATGCTCTCCAAAGACTGTCCTATGGGTAAGCCTGTGAGTCACCATCATCACTAAGGACTGATGTAGGAATGCCAGTCACGGCCGGGAGTGCCACCCAGGGCAGGTGGTCCAGGGTTCTATAAGAAAGCAGGCTGAACAAGCCAGGAGGAGCAAGCCAAAAGGCAGCATTTCTCCTGCCTTCCTTCAGTAATGTGCAACCTGAGATAAACCTTTTCCCTCTCAAGGTTGCTTTTAGTTGTGATGTTTTAGCACAGCAACAGAAACCCTAAGATAATACCCCAAATAAAATCCCCTGGAATGGCCATCTCCAGGGGAACAGCCACAGCAGTATGCTTGAGGTCAGCCTAAATTAACAAGTGTGCACTGCTCTGGTCTTCCTGAGATGCTTGGGGGAAAGTCCTTGCTTCAGAGAATAGGACTAAGGCAAGTCACCTGGAGTCATAAAGTGAGAATGATGGCTGGATTAATTTAGCTCTGCTGTACAGCCCATCCTTGAGTGTACAAAGTTCCAGCTTCCATTCCTGGCAAAAATTAAAAGCCAGGGAAGGGGACAGCTGATTTTTCATGCTTTTTCCCTTTCCCTGCAATGAAAATATGACAGCAGGTGGGATGACTCCAAAACCCAGGAATCCACCTTGCTGGCACCTTAATTATCCTGCTCCTACCTCCAGAACTTAACAGAATACTTTTCATGTGCCCAGTCAATACTACTTAGCTACTGAAGCCTAAGCCAAGCAAGACATCAAAATATACAGAACACAATATACTCTTAATAAATGAAAGGCAACTGATACTAAAAGAACTTGCATATAAAGAGTTAAACACAAGCTGGGCAGTAATGGCACATGCAGGCCTTTAATCACAGCACTCAGGAGGCAGAGGCAAGTGAATCTCAGCTGAGTCTCAAAAAGACTAATTAAATTTCTTTTTAAAAAGGTAAGGGTAATGATATAGTGGTCCATACCTCTCCTGCCATAACTCTGGAGTTGAAGACAAGATTGGAAGTTCAAGATCATCTTTGGCCACACAAGATTTCAAAGTGAGCCTGGGCTAAATGAGATCCAGCCTCAACAGAAGAAAACAAGGGGACTGGGGAGTCACACAAGCTTAAGCAACTAAGTCTAAGTCCAGCATGTAAAGTAGAAAGCAATCCAGGTGGCAAGCTAAGAATGTCAGCACTGGGCGGCAGACACAGGAGGATCCCAGGGGATATTCTAACTGCTGAGTTCTCAGTCAATAAGAAACCCTGTATCAAAGCAATGGGTAGGGCTTCTTACAATGACATGCAAAACTGTCTTTTGGCCTACACATGTACACACACCTGCAAACACACAAACTCACAGGAATACATGCGTGTGATAAACGTGACGCAGAAGTGCACAGTGAGGCTTCAAGAGATAAGCGACCTCCAGGCAGGGTAGCACACACCTTAATGCCAGCACTCAGGAGGCAGAAGCAAATCTCTGTCTACAGAGAGAGTTCTAGGATAGTCTGAGCTGTTACACAGAAAAACCCTGACCCGAAAAACAAAAAACAAACAAGAAAGAGTGATAAGTGACCTGAAACTAGCCTGGCGTCACTACTTCAAACATGCAAACACAATGAAACAAAAGGTTCTTTTTTTGTTGTTTTTTGGGACAGAGTTTCTTTGTGTAGCCTTGGCTGTTCCAGAACTAGCTCTGTAGATGAGGCTAGTCTCGAACGTACAGAGATCTGCCTGTTGAACCATCACTGCCCGTCTAAAAGATCCTTGCAATATATCTCTCAGAGAGCTTGCCCAAACACCCGTGGAATAAAAAGCATCCAAATGTGTCTGTGTAGGAGGCACTAAGGTCTTTGCACTCACAAACATGCATTAGGGCAGCAGTTTTCAACCTGTGGATCACGTCCCCTTTGAGGGTTTGCCTAAAATCATTGGAAAACACAGGTATTTATGAAATGTAACAGCAGCAAAATTACAGTTATGGAGTAGAAACGAAAGTAGTTTTATGGTTGGGGTCAGCACAACATGAAGAACTGTATTAAAGAGTTGCAGATTAGGAAGGGTGAGATCCACTGCTCTAGTGGAATCTGGAATCTTCAGCATACAGGGTTGTCCCTCTTCGAGGGAAAGGATTACAAACCTTTCTGGTCCAAAAGCTGAACAGACACTCTTTCTAGCCTGATGACCTTTTCGTGCTATCTGCTATACTAGAGACTTTTCTAGCATCTAGGTGGGCCCTCCCACCTTCCCACCCCCAGATCCTTATAAATTTGTTTTTCTCAGTCAATCCACAGAAACCTATCTTTATGGACTTTACAAGTAGTTTTTTTGGTTGTTTGTTTTGGGGATGGGGTGTTTCCAGGCAGGGTTTCTCTGTAGCTTTGGAGCCTGTACTGGAACTAGCTCTTGTAGACCAGGCTGGCCTCAAACTCAGAGAGATCAGCCTGCCTCTGCCATCACCACCCGGCTACAAGTAGTTTTAATGCAGTCATATCTGATCTGTGTTATGTTTAATTTGTTCCTCAAAGAGATTTATGCATGATTTGCTGTACATGCAGGATTGAGTTAGTCGTTACAAGAATAAACTGTAATTTTGCTAAACTTAAATATGCCTAAAATAAACCACTCGGGGTCATGAAGAATGAACCAACACTGGCTGAGTCATGTTGAGCTGAACAGTCTTTTTGATTGCTGCATTACTTTGATGGCTTGGAAGGTCGCAGAGCCCTGCATGCTTGCATGTACCATGAGTGTGCTTTCCTGGAGAGTATTTGGAGTTTTTCCACCAAACACATGCCTTTCAAATGAGGGGGAGTAGCAACTTCTCAGGAGGCTTTACATAGAACAAGGGGCATGTGTGTGACCTGACTTGAAAAGATGTCAGCCAAGCAGGAACTGGCAGAGAGCCTGGGGCTTGAATAGAAAACTCCCAGGAGAGGCAACAGCCCAGTTGTGAGGTAGGGTTTCCATCTGGGAAGAACTGAGAGGTTGCTTTCACATAATTAAACTTTTGTAATTGTTTTTTGTAAAACAGGATACTGTATAGCCCAAGGTTTTGACCTTATGGTGATCATTCACTTTGGCCTCACACATGTTAGATTCACAGGCAGGTGACACAATGTCTACCTTCTGGGTTGTTTCTTTTCTCACTCCTTTTTTCTCCCAACACACTGAGTACTGGAATGAGCTCATTGGTAGGCAGATTCCCTACTCTGCACAGGTGATGGGTTTGATCCATAGCCACCTTACCCCCTAACACACACACAACAGATGCATGATTGAGACTACCTGCCTTTGAATGGGAATGGTGTGGATAGCATTCCCTCTCTCAAAGCAGACAATGCTGTCTGTTGACTTTCTAGAACCACACACTAAGCACATGAGCGAACTGAGGAATTCCAAGGAGAGTCAAAATAATAAACCTCAGAACACACTCCCCAACCAATTGAAAACAAAGGCTGGTCCAGCAGAAGAGACTTCCTAACAGGAGTACTGGACAGGGAGTCAAAATGGATATTCTGTGCATGGTAGAACTAGACAAATACATTAAACCCATGATGGCTGATACGAGTGGGACTACTGATTTTAGAAAAGAAAGCAGGAGAGCAGTTGAGTCAGAAAAGAATGTATCTTCTGGGTACAATGGTACATGCCTGCAGTTCAAGCTGCCCAGAAAATGCCTGAAACACATTTGAGGGCAGGCATGTGCACAAATGCATAGAAATAAATGTAATCTTTAAAAAAGGATTTCTTCATTTTGCTTTGTTTTTCAAGACAGGGTTTCTCTGTAGCCCTGGCTGTCCTGGAACTCGATCTGTAGACCAGAATGGTCTCAAACTCAGAGATTCAACTGCCTCTGCCACCCAAGTGTTGAATTAAAAGTGTGTGCCACCACTGCCTGGCTTAGAAAACTTTGAAGTAGCTGGGCGGTGGTGGCGCACGCCTTTAATCCCAGCACTCGGGAGGCAGAGGCAGGTGGATCTCTGTGAGTTCGAAGCCAGCCTGGTCTACATGAGCTAGTTCCAGGATAGGCTCCAAAGCTACAGAGAAACCCTGTCTTGAAAAACCAAAAGAAAAAAGGAAAAAAAAAAGAAAAGAAAACTTTGAAGTATTAAAAAAAAGAACTAGATGGTAGCAAGTTCAGCCCTGCGGGAGCAAGATGACTCAGTATTGCCATTAGAGCCTGACGGCCTGAGTTCCAACCCAGGAACTCACGAAGAGGAAGGAGAAAACCTACACCACTATCACCCCACTAAAGAAATAATAAAAATGTGATTTCAAACATTTTTAAACAAACAAACTGAAAGAGACACATATCACAGGGTTGGCTAGTATTTCTGTAAGAAAGCCCCACTTCTCACCTCGCCATCTGGACCAATAGCAGGTGTCTGTCCTTCAGCGTTTTCCACCTTCTGCAAATAAAGAGACAAGGTTAGCCTGATCCTACAGGCCTAGGCCACTCAGCATACAGCCAGGCCAACTAAAGGGTGCCCATTCCTAGTCAGGCCCAGCAAACCTTCTTTTTCTTTTTCTTCTTCTTCTCTTTGGCAACCTGAGCAGCTTTGTGCTGCCGCACCAGCTCTGTGAGGTTGGCTACGTATTCGTCTGTCTGCTGCAGGAGGTAGGCCAGGCGTTTGTCCTTCTTCTGGTCAATGAGCTTCCGGTAGCCCTCCTCGTCTTCAGCCTGTAAAACCAAGACAGGATAGAACACAGACCTGTAAGGGTGCACACCTGAGGATTTATGAGGACTGCTGCACCCACCCCAGCTCCATACTGAACCTCAAGGGACATGCCAGGCAACACAGGTCCTGCCATGAACCCTTCATAGAGGGCATAAATGAGTTTTAGACTCCCTGTCCAAAAATACATCACAAATCCCAACCTTCTTATCTGATCTGGGTTCTATCGCCATGACTCCCTGTCCAAAAAATACATCACAAATCCCAACCTTCCTATTGATCTGAGTTCTATCACCATGACTCCCCGTCCAAAAATATATCACAAATCCCAACCTTCTTATCCAATCTGGGTTCTATGGCCATGAATCTCAAACCATCTTTTCTCTACCTGATCTAGAAACATCTCCACGAAGCTCAGCCTTGACCTCTACCTATCTTTTTATGAATGAACAAGAGCAGAAGCTAGGCATAGTGAAACACGTTTGTAATCCCAGCACTCTGGAGGCAACAGCAGGTGAGTCTCAGTTCAAGTTTAGCCTGGTTTATATAAAGGAGGATAGACAGGCTTATAATGAAACCCTGTCTCAAATAAGACAGAAAGCACTATACAGCAGATAACATTCCCTAGGTATTCCTTCCATAATCTATTTCTTCCCAATGGCCTGCAAGCCTCAGATGATGAACTTCACAAGCTTTTAGACTCAGGGTCCTGTTTTAACACCATGAGGTTCCAAGGCCCCAGTGGTGACTGCCTGTAGCTGTGCCTTGTGTTTGGTGTCCTGCTTCCTTGCCCTTCTCATCTCCTCCTTGAACTCTTTCTTCTTCTCCATAGTGCTTTGCACTGTACACTGGACCCGACCCTCAACCTCTGCTCCAAGTCTGTCTCACAGCTGCCCAGCCTAGTCCTGCCTCAACTGTCTCTACTCTGTCTATTCTGTTCCTTTCTAGGGCAAACATGAGTCCAATCGAGAGAAATTATTCTGCTCCCTTCTATATCCCCAGAGCAGGTAACAGTATCTGTCCAGTTAGCAGCTACACCATGATGAAACATCAGCTAGATTCACCTGGGTGTAGAGTCTTCATTGTACCTTTCATGGCTCTCATGAGGCTTAGAGCAGGAGGCAGAGAACTCAGAGCTAGCCTGCCCTAACAGTCAGAAGGAATAAAGGTGAAGACCCACACCTCTGCCTCCCAAATCCATGTGGCTCTTCCTTTAGCTCTAATTCTATAAGCTAAGCCACAGAGTATCTAAGCGTAATCCTAGAATTTGCTATACTCAGGGCCTACAGGTGACCAAAATCAAGAAAACAGGTGTAGGGACTGGAGAGATGGCCCAGAGGTTAAGAGCACTGACTGCTCTTCCAGAGGTCCTGAGTTCAATTCCCAGCAACCCCATGGTGGCTCATAGCCATCTATCACAAGATCTGGTGCCCTCTTCTGGCATGCAGGCATACACAGAAGGAATGTTGTATACATAATAAATAAATAAATCAAAAAGAAAGAAAGAAAGGAAGAAAGGAAGGAAGGAAGGAAGGAAGGAAGGAAGGAAGGAAGGAAGAAAAGAAAACAGGTGTATACCATAAGCCTCCGCATTCGCTCCTTCTCGATGCGCTCATTTTCTTTCTTCTGCTCCCGCTCGGTATTTGCATGGTAGGTGGCCACAGCCTTGGTGAGTTTCTGGAGTTTGCCTGTGACTGATCTGTGATACTCCCTGAAGTCCTTTGCATGCTGCAGGATGCTGTTGAGGTACTCCTGCAGAAAAACATCATGGAGGGGTGGCTAAGTTCCAGTTCAGTAAGGCTCAATTGTACCTACAGCCTGTTTAAAGACAAAGGAGTATTTAGAACTGGCTCAATGGCAGAGCGTTTCTCTTGCATACACAGAGTTTTGGGTTCCATCGCTAGCATATCAAAGAAAATGGAGGGGGTACTGTCCACATAATAAGACTACTATGTTCAGCTCTGCCTATGACAAAATTTGCTGCTGGCCCTTGTGCAACAATAACAGGGGCCCTTAGACACAACAGTTGGGTGTATCAAGTGAACACCCACCCACCCCTGTCTCTCTTTTTGTGAGGGAAGGGTTAGAGACAGGGTCTACTACATAGCCCTGGCTGTCATGGAACTCACTATGTGGACCAGCATAGCTCTGAATTCAGAGAACAACTTGCCTCAGCCTCCTGAGTGCTGGGATCACGGGCATGTGCCACTACACCTGGCCCAAAACTCTTGCCAAGGGTAACTTAACATTATAAATCAAGTTCCAAACATGTTCCCACCTTTTTCTCAGTTGTGCCCCTTCAAGGAACTTTTCCTGATACAGCAAGACTGCCAGGGCACCTTTTAACTCTGAAATGTAAAAAGCTAGACACACAGCTGAGTGTAGTGTGGTACACACCTATAGTACCAGCACTTGGGGGGTAGAGACAAGAGGATCACTGAGTTCCAAGCCATCTGGGCTAAAAGAACCTAACTCAAGAAGGCAAATGTTATGGTGTGTGTCCTAAATAGGGACTTGGTGACAAGATTTATAGAAACACTGGGAAAATATTCGAACTTCTCATTAATACACATACACAGGTACTTAAACTTCTCATTAATACACATACACAGACATACACACACAGAGATACAATCATGAATACCAAAATGTTAACCAGTTTAGTGCTGACTAAATTTTCTTACATGTGGTGCTGAAAATTGAACCTATGGCCATGTGGTGTGTGCTGGGCAAACACTCTATTAATGAGCTACACCTTGGGCTCAGGTTGCCCTCAAATCTGTGATACTTCTACCTTAGTTCCTGCCATGGTCATCCTGGAATAAACAGTTATTGCTTTAAAAATGTAACAACTATGAATAAGAAACCACAGGAAGCTGAGGCAGCATTGTTAAGTTTGAGGCCAGTCTGGGTTACATAGAGAGTACAAGAGTCAGGGCTACAAAGCAAGACTCTGTTTCAAAAATAAATAAACAAAGCTGAACGATGACTCATTGGTTGGGAGCATTTGTTGGTCTTGCAGAGGACCTAGGCTCAATTCCCAGAACCCACATGGTGGCTAACAAACATCTGTAACTCTAATTCCCAGGCATATGATGCTCTCCTGACTTCTGACCTCCTTGGGTACTAAGCATGTACGTGATATACATATATGTAGGTAAAATAAATATGCATAGGGGCTGGAGAGATGGCTTAGCGGTTAAGGGCATTGCCTGCTCTTCCAAAGGTCCTGAGTTCAATTCCCAGCAACCACATGGTGGCTCACAACCATCTGTAATGAGGTCTGGTGCCCTCTTACGGTCTGCAGACATACACACAGATAGAATACTATATACATAATAAATAAATTTAAAAATATATGCATAAAATAAACCTAAATCTATTTAAAAATAAATACACAACAAAGCAAATGAAAACAAAGGAGTAGACTGGATTCATCTGTAAGCCTACTTGACTGTAGATTTTCATTTCCTTGATGGACTTTGTAATAACTGAAGTTATTCAGTCTCTTGTGGTTTTCCCTTGCTCAGAGCAAAAGTCCAAATACTCCATACCGCACAGGACCCTCACTCACTTTCTCCACTATGCCCTATGGCTCACTTTGCTAGCTACCCTGATCCTTGATTCAAGATGAAACAGGGAAGCATGTTCTAGTCCCCACTGTCCCTCCTCAGTCTGGCACCCTCACTCAAAGTCTGCTGTCTCCCTCATGGGAACCCCAATGACACCCTTTCACCTTAGGTAGCTCCTTCTTCTTTGTCCTTTCCCACCTTTCATGTGTCCAGAATGAGCACTGCTCATCCTTTCTTTCTGCCTGGGTGTGCATTGGCACACTGCTGTCACAGGAAGACTGACTAGAAAGCGTGTACCCTAAGGCCCTGTGGCAAACATACCTGGTGCTTCTGGCGGCGCTTTCGCTCCTGTTCAATCTTCTGCTGCTTCTCCAGCTTCTCAGTGATGCGGGCCTCCCGCAGTGACTGTCGTTTGCTGCGCTTGTAGGCCTTGGCATTGAGGGCTGTCTCTAAAGCTGTATCTCTGCGCATGCACACCACCACCTCCTGGCGCAGCTTTAGGGTAGAAAAGGAGACACTGGCATCAGGCATGATGGGTTTATGATGCCTGTGGTGATGCTTACAAGGGATGACCACATCCTGGGCAGATGATATTGCAACAAACTGCCTGGAATGCGCAGGACACCTGGGAGGTACCACAGGTGAGACAAGCAAAGAGCAGAACTTGAGCGATCTGGACTTTTTCACAGCCACACATACAGTTCCTGGGGGATGTATAAAAACACAGAACCCTCAGGAAGAGACTCACCAGGCATCCTGCCTTCTAGCTGACAACTGCAACCTCAGCAGCCCACACCTGTGTATCCACAGGATATACACAGCCAGGTCTTGCTGTAGTGTGGGCCATGACAGTAAACTTAACTCCCCTGAGATCCTAATAGCCCAACCACACAGGTATCCCAGGTTATATCCTTCCAAGCACTCTCAGAGCCCAGCATCCCCACTGTCAGAAAAGGCCTCATAAGCCCAGAGTTGAGGCCACCAGACCCACCTGCCTCTGAAAATTCAGCAACCTAAGGGCCTTGAGTTCGATGGTTGCTTTGGTTCGCAGGTCCCCAGCCAGGGACCCAGGAAGATTTTCAAGTTCCTGAATTCGGTGTGCGATTCGAGCCTGCAGCCTGGGCAGAGACAGGAAAAGGACAAGTGGTGAGGACTATTTGTCTGAAGGAAGTTACCTGGTCTTTAAAGTTAGAGACTATAAAGGATCTGTCCCTCAAAGGAGGCAGATCCAGCCCAGTTGTAAGAGAATTGCCTCAGAAAAGCACAACAGTTACAACACAGAAGAGATGCAAGCAGCCTCAGAGTGCTCTTGAAAACAGGCCTGCAGGGATCACAGCAAGCCCAGGACCTAATGGTGACTGTACTCATTGGTTTTGAATGCCAAGTTGACAAAAGCATGAATCACCCGGGAAGAGAGACCCTCAACTGTACAACTGCCTTGATCAGATGGGCCAGCCCACTGTGGGCGGCATGAGTCTCAGAAAGTAGGTCTGAGCTATAGAAGAAACTATGAGCTAGAGACCAAGCAGTGTTCCTCCACAGTCTTTGCTTCAAGTCCTGTTTGCGTTCTTGCCCTGACTTCCTGCAGAAATGGACTTACCTGGAAGTCTATGGTGAAATGAAGCCTTTTCCTTTCCAAATTGCTGTGGTCAGTATTTTATCACAGTAATAGAAAAGTAAATTAGAACAGTGACTTAGCTAGGTGCCAATCCCATGTGGGCAACAAGAGCTGTGACATCAGGCAACCCAGCCTCAGCACAAGACACAGGGCTGTGGGAATCTATATAGCCCACAGGCATCAATGTTTTGTCTACAGGTTGAGGAGATACCACCCCCTCCTAGTAACTCTGTGTGGGAAAAGTCCCCTACTCTATCTTCTTATTTATAGAACACCTACTATGTTGGAGGGCAGTTTTCTCATGTGGAATCTTAGCACTGAACAGAGGTCAAAATGTTGCCTGTTCTCTTGTGGCTCACAGTCCCATTAGAAGAATGGCTATAAAGGAATAAAGCAGTAAGCACTCCAGCAATGCTAGAGCACCAAGTGCAAGGAAGAAAGGGAGCAGGACCAGGTTGCTCAGCAGTGAGGTCTGGATGGCCAGAAGATGTGCACAGCCTGTGGGACACGAATGAGCCTAAGAAAGAGATGAAAGAACATTCTCTGGTACCTGGCAATCAACACTGGCAGCGTAGTCATTGGGTGCTCACCTGTACTCTCGCTCCTGTAGGATCTCCACAGGGTCCAGGCCCCGGGGCTTCTGGATAGGGGTGATGCGGCTCTGCTTCTGGTGCAGGGGCACCAATGGAGCAGGCTGGGCCGGCTGCCCTGGGGACTGTGTCTGCGGTGGCATCACAGGTGAGGCAGCAGGTGGGACAGCAGGAGGTGCAGGTGAAGGGCGGCCTGTTGGTTGGGGAGGAATCAGCTTCTGTGGGGTGCTTGTGGGGGCAGCAGCATTGGCCATGGGTCCTGGAGAGGCAAGTGGGATACGCTGCTTGAACTCTGGAGCTGTAGGACTGCTCTTTCAGCCCTCCTACTTCTCACTGGGCCAGAACCTGGACACGCCCATCCTCGAGCCAAGTTCTCCCACACCTTGGACCTAACCACCCAGAGTCTGGTTTTTCTGTGCTTGGCTTCACAGGGACACCATGCCTGTCTTCCTCTAAAGCAGTTCAGTCCTCCCTTTTAGCAGCTTTGTCTCTGCCATTTCAATTATCCTTGGTCAATGGCAGTCTAAAAATATTAAATGGAAAACTCCAGGAATAAATGACTGCGAGATATCAATTGCATGCTGTTCTAAAGAGCTACACCTAAATTCTCCTTCTGCATCATTTATCACTTCCTCACAACACCATCATAGAGGCAAGTTCATCGCACACTGTCCTGAGTGTGTTCCTGCTTATTCTATGACTGATGTGTTTTATCATTTTCTGTTTAATGAATGAAACTCCATCACAGGGAGTGTTTACAGAAAATACAGTATACATAGGGTTTGCTGCTATTCGCCTGTCAAGTGTCCACTGAAAGTCTTGGATAGCTTCTCTCTCAGATGGAGAGAATGGCTGGCTCTATTACACATCCAAACAAACCAGATTTTAATATACAATGATCCATCATGGACCCCAAGAGAGCACTGTCCCAACCAAATATCCAACTAAACTTTCCAAAGACACTTATGAGAGGACAGGGAAAGGCCACACACAGTCAGCAGATACATCCTCCACCGGGATTGCTCTCTATAGAGAAGAAAACCATGCTGGACACCCTCTTCTCCTAAGCTCAGAAGCATCCTGTCTTGAGCAAGCTTGCCTGTTGTCACAATTAAAGCCAGCCATTCTCCTTGAGTCCCATAGTAGACACATTCCCTGCCTTCCTCCTCTGCTAACTATTGCAGAACAATCCCCACCCACGGGGCAGGTCCTCTGCAGACCCCAACTGAACCCCACAGAAAAGTCCCGAAGCCACTTCTGGGGAAAAGGAATGGAGCCCATCTCTGGGGTCTGGCATAGTTCAGGCTCATGACAGGAGGTGGGGCATGCTACCAAGAGAAAAGAAACTCACCTTCAGGCCATGGCTTGGGAGGCCCTCCAGGGGGCTGACCAGGCATCCCAGGGGGCACACCTGAGGGTCCTGGAGGAGGCATGTTGGGCCCACCCATACCTACATTCAAGGAAACAAAGCACCATAAAGGTCACTGTATTTAAACCTGCTGGCCTACGCTCATGTTAGCTCAGGGAACACACCACAAATAAGGTCAGAGAGAGGGACAAAACACATTTATCTCGACATAACCCTATCCATCTCAGTAGTCCCAGATAACAACATCTGGGAGGCGGGGCTGCCTGCCATTATCACCCACACTCAACACCCTCCCCACTCCAGAGGCAGGGATGTAGGTCTTACCATGGGGTCTACTGTAATTTGGAGGGGCAGGTCCTGGACCTGGACCAGGCCCAGGGCCAGAGCCAGGCCCAGGTCCTGTAGCAGACACTGAGGGTGGAGGTAGTGTTGGCATCTGCTGCTGCATTCCAGGCATTGGCCGCTTGCCTTGCACGGCCATCTGCAGGTGGTCAGGCAATGGCTGGCCCCTGGCCAACATCTTGTAAGCCATTATCTGAGCTCTGAGTTGATGCAGCTGGTTCTGGTTAAATGGGGTTGGGCCTCGGTTTTGCTGCCCCAAGGCCTGGGGGTCAGAACCATCTAATGGGGCCCCTCCAGGCCCAGAGGACATCTGAGGGCCTGAAGATGGACCACTGGCTGGGACGGGACTGGAGGCATGTTCAGAGCCACCCAGGGGTGAAGGGTAACCTGTAGGGAAAGAAGACTAATTCAGTGGTCACTTGGCAGCACATATACCTATGACTGCTAAATCACATCCACACCACCTGGCATCCCCAGACAACACCCCTCTCCTGAGTCAAACAAGCAGCACCTAGAGGGTGGTGGCTAAGTTACAGCCTCAGTCTGGCAGCCCATGTAGCTGTAAGCTTGGATGTTTCAGCAGGATATAGATGACCAATGCAAAAGGTGAGACCTGCAAACCAAACTCCATCAAGCCTAACCTCTGGCCAGGCAAACTTCCCGTCATTCCTATGAGGCCCCAGGACCCAGTACCTTGCTTGGTGCCCCTGGTACATGGAGAACTCCACAAGTCACCTACTACAATCTTCTCATGTAGAAAAGTCAATTTGACTAAGGCAAGGACCTGAGGCACCACTGGAGTTGCTAGCCCGCAGGCCCCACCATGCTAAGCCCTGACCCCAAATACCATGCTGATCAGCCACCTCTTCCACCAGTTCAGTCTTCGAGGTCTGCTCAAGGCAAGAGACTATACAGAGCTCCAGCACACCTCACCTGGGAGGCCCCAGGCAAGCCCTCCCCACAGCTCAGCTATCCTAGCTGTCCTCGAAATTAACACAGAAGAAAAGTACACTGTGGGCTTCAGGTGTATGAACAACAGGAAGCAGAAAGGGACCTAGACAGACTGTACCTTGGGAATGCTGGTCCATGGGACTAGGTGGGGGTCCCATACCTGTGTGGGCCCCTGACCGCATGCCCATCCCTTTCATCTGATTGTATCGTGGGTCATCAGGCATGCCCTTCTCGTGCATCGACTCCATAGGCTATGAGAAGTGCAAGGACACAGGTCAGTCAAGTATAGTAAGAGGCAGCCGAGCAAAGTACCATCAGGAAGACCACACAGAGGTCGACCTAAGGGGGCCATAAGGCTAGCTCTGAGGCACAGACACCACAGTTTCTGGATGTCAAGACAAGAGAGACAAAAATCAAGCTGTTGGAGAAGGTGACTACTTAGGCAATGGGACAGCAGAGGCATGAAGCTCTCTTTTAAGCCAGTGAGAACCACAAAGAAAGGACTCATGCCACAGCTCCCAGCAGGACTGTCCTGGTTAGTTCCTCCCTGTGCCAATAAGAATGGTTGCAAACCTAGGGCTAAAGTCCTCATCCTTGGAGACTATAAATCAAAGGGACATATGAAAAGGTCTGCACACAGACTGGACAACAGTGAGATACCAGATGCTCCACTGTCCTCAGTAGCTGCCTGCCAGCTTGGAAAAAAGCTATTGTAGAGGTATCCTGCCACTGAGCCAGAGCATTGTAGAGGGGAGGCTGACACATGGCACCTTTGGGAGTGGGCATGCCTCCCAGGGAAATGGCTACAGCAGCTAGTTATAGAGGGGCACTGCTTAAGAACTCTCTGTGAACTGGGCCTGGTTAACAAGCATCCTACTCTGCAAAAATCTCACAGGCGAACATGTGATGAAGCAGAGTGACACCAAAGCCACAGTTCAGTACAGCTGTAACAAAGGAAGCTGGGACAGGGACATGTGAGCAGTTTCCTATGGGGCCATAGGTGTGTGCAGGCCTCCAAGACTGTTCATGCTGAACAACAGCCTTGCTCCAGCATAGAAGGAGCTCTGTGTAGGTGAGGTGCTATCATCCAGGACTCCAGTACCTAGCAGGTTTCTGGACATATGATAGGTATCCAAAAGGCACCTGTCAGAGGTAGTAGAACATGTAAGCAATGCTAGGAGAAGAAAGATAGGGAAAGGGGATGTGGCTGGCATGCTGCAGGAGCCCGTAAACCAGAAGGTGGGCTTGGGCATGTGACCCATAGCTTCCTTCACAGAAGGAAAAGGGCAAGAAAATACTATACTACTAAGACAAGAGAACAGTCCGGGAACTAGGGAGTCAGAGAAGGGGATGCATTGGAAGCAGAGCACAGTTAGCACACAACCCAGATAGAGGGATGAGACAGGCAAGTGAGGGCCTTCCTCATTTGTGGATAGAGAACAACCTAAACCGAGTTGCAGAGGTATAAGCAAACACAAGGAAGACCCTGCAGGGAGGCAGAGCAGTTGACAATGCCACCATGGTGAAGCCTAGTACAGCTTCAACTTTATCTTCTCACACCCTTGCCTCCATGGGCCCAGACTATTACTCTCAGCCAGCTCTAAGAGGAGGACCAGGTAGCTGGACAGAGAGTTACTTGGCACCCTTGCTGGCAAGTTTACAAAGTGGGAAGAAGATAGTCCAGAGCCTAAATACAGGAGCAGGTTGAGCACTCAGCACTGTTTCAAGCATGCAGGCCACCAGTGCAGTCAGGAGAGACGCCTCAGCCAGGTGGTGTGGCGCATACCTTTAATCCCAGCACTACATAGGCCTCCTCTAGAGATTTGGGGATCCCTTTATTAACAAAAGAAAGCTCTGGCACACTGTTCCCTAACAAGTATGGGAAATGTAGGGTGGGATGGCTGCTCAGCCTCATGGCTCAGGACAACAGCCTGATCCCTTTGTTCACTTAGGAGCAGACTTAGGGTGGGAATCTGAACCAAGCCAAGTCACCTCCACAAAAATCTGTCCCTTCTAGACTGCAGGGAAGGCTCCTGTAGCCTTGTACGGAATATCAAGGTCCCAAGCTCAGGCAGGTCTCAAGAACAGAGTACCGAATGAGAGCACAGCATGCCTACCTTGTGCATCTGGTGCATGTTGTCCTGAGGGTATCCTCCAGGCCCCTGGGTAGGCATGGGATGTCCTGCTGAAGGGGGTCCTGGGCTAGGCCCCATCATACTGTGGGCAGAGCCTGGTGAAGGGCCAGGGCTAGGGCCCAGCATTGCACCAGGTGAGGGGCCAGGGCCTGGGGAAGGGCCAGGCCTAGGAGTTCCACCCAGGGGCGGATCTGGAGTGGACATCTTCACAGGAGCTGCAGGCAGTGGTCTCCTGCTGGAAAGAAATCCTGGTCATCCTGGGATCTAGGACATCAGTTCAGTAGGTCAAGAACAGCAAAGAAGTGCCCAGAAGCCAGCCAGAACCAACCAGTCCACAGTGCCCCATCCTGCAGGCCCTGTCCACACCTCTGTTCCAAATCCTTCTATTGCTTTTGGAGAAAACACTGTATCTCAGAAATCAGATCAGAAAGCAGGACACGATGCTGCAGGTTCATCTCCCCAGCAAAAGGGAGGCAGAGGATCTCTGGTCTACAAAACAAGTGGGTCGGTCATACAGGGCAAGTGGTGTGGGTATTGTACCAGCTTTATCTAAATATCACATGGTGGTTAAAGAAACAGACTGGTCAGCCTGGCATTGGCATAAGAACAGACAGGAAGGCCAGGCGGTGGGGGCGCAAGCCTTTAATCCCAGCACTTGGGAGGCTGAGGCAGGCAGATCTCTGTGAGTTCGAGGCCAGCCTGGTCTATAAGAGCTAGCTCCAGGACAGGCTCCAAAGCTACAGAGAAACCCTGTCTCAAAATCAAAAACAAACAAACAAACAAAAAGGACAGGAGGATCAATGGAACCAAACTGAAGACCCGGATATCAATCCACACACCTTCAAACACCTGATTTTTGACAAAGAAGCAAAAATTATCAAATGGAAAAAAGAAGGCATATAACAAATGGTGCTGGCATAACTGGTTATCAACATGTAGAAGAATGAAAATAGACCCATATCTATCACCATGCACAAAACTCAAGTCCAAATGGATCAAAGACCTCAACATAAAGTCAGCCACACTGAACCTTATAGAAGAGAAAGTGGGACACTTGAACGCACTGGCACTGGAAACCACTTCCTAAATAAAACCCCAGCAGCACAGACATTGAGAGAAACAATTAATACATGGGACCTCCTGAAACTGAAAAGCTTCTGTAAAGCAAAGGACATGGTCAACAAGACAAAACAACAGCCTACAGAATGGGAAAAGATCTTCACTAACCCCACATCAGACAGAGGTCTGATCTCCAAAATATACAAAGAACTCAAGGAATTGGACACCAAAAGATCACATACTCCAATAAAAAAAAAAACGGAGTACAGACCTAAACAGAGAACTCTCAACAGAGGAATCTAAAATGGCTGAAAGACACTTAAGGAAAAGTTCAACATCCCTAGTCATCAGAGAAATGCAAATCAAAACAACTCTGAGATTCCAGCTTACATCTATAAGAATGGCCAAGATCAAAATCACTGATGACAACTTATGCTTGGGAGGTTGTGGGGAAAAGGGAACACTTCTGCACTGCTGGTGGGAATGTAAGCTGGTACAAACCCTTTGGATGTCAGTGTGGCGATTTCTCAGAAAATTAGGAAACAACCTTCCTCAAGACCCAGTAATACCACTTTTGGGTATATATTCAAAGGATGCTCAATCGTGCCACAAGGACATGTGCTCAATTATGTTCATAGCAGCATTGTTTGTCATAGCCAGAACCTGGAAACAACCTAACTGCCGCTCGACCTAAGAATGGATAAGGAGAATGTGATACATTTACACAGCAGAAATAGATAACAACATATTGAATTTTGCAGGCAAATGGATGGAGCTAGAAAACATTTTGAGTGAGGTAACCCAGACACAGAAAGACAATTATCACATGTACTCACTCATAAGTGGTTTTTAAAAATAAAAGAAAAACTAGCCTACAAACCACAATCCCAGAGATCCTAGACAACAATGAGAACTCTAAGAGACATACATAGATCTAATCTACATGGGTGGTAGAAAAAGACAAGATCTCTTCATGGGGACCTTGGGACAGGGTTAAAGGGGAGGGGAGAGACAGGAAGGGGAGCAGAGAAAATGCAGACCTCAACAAAAGACAATTAAAAAAATAAAAAACAAAATACAAAACAAAAAAAGAAACAAACTGGTGAATCTGACCTGGGTATGATCAATAACTACACTTAGAGGCTACACTGATGTGATCAAAAGGAGAATATCCTCCCCTTGCATCAAAGATCAACTGGGTCCCAGGAGACTATTTGGGGAATCATCTGTTCTCTTATTCAGGAAGGTCATAGAGACAGACAGTAACACAAACAGTAAGAAAGACAAAATACACACAATCAATGAGCTCTAACCACCATCCAGCCCACAAAGAAGAATAGTCAGCACAGAAGGAAAATTTCCTCTATACTTCCAAGCAAAGCCACAGTCAGGGCCCACAGCTTTATTCCCAACACTCAGGAAGCAGAGACAAGTGGATCTCTGTGAGTTGAGGCCAGCCTGGTCTACACAGTTCCAGACCAGCCAGGGTGACATAGTGATTCTGTTTCAAATAATAACAGCAACAACAGTAGTTGCAGGAAGAGAAAGACTAAAACACCTACCTACAGCCAAGAGACAGGTTGGCTGCTATTTTAGCCTAAAAGTTAAATGACTAAACTTTCCTCTCCCTCTCTAGAAGCCATCTGGGAAGAACACCACACAATTCTAGCCCCTCCACAGCTACCAAAGTGCCCAAAAGCCTATCTTAAGTTCATTACTCGAGAGATATCTTAGAGATCACAGAAAAACTGGGAGCAGGTTATTGGGAGCCAATTAAGAGATTTTAATAGGCCACGAGGTGGTGGCGCAAGCCTTTAATCCTAGCACTCGGGTGGCAGAGGCAGGCGGATCTCTGTGAGTTTGAGGCCTACCTGGTCTACAGAGCAAGTTCCAGGACAGGACCCAAAACTACAGAGAAACCGTCTTGGGGAAAGAGAGAGAGAGATTGAGACTGACTGAGAGTCTAATGGGAAGCAGGAGAGATGGCTCAAGTTTAGAGCACTTGTTCTCTTACAGAAGACTAGAGTCTGAGTCCCAGCACCCAATGGAAATTTTGTTTGTTTGTTTTGTTTTGTTTTTTAAACAGGGTTTCTTTGTGTAACAGACCTGGCTGTCCAATCCCTTGTCGACCAGGCTAACCTCAAACTCACACAGATCTACTTGCCTCTGCCTTCCTAGTGCTGGGATTAAAGACATGCACCACCACTGCCTGGCTCAATGAAAAAAATTTTTAAATTAATTTATTATGTATACCAGATCTCAGATCTCATTATAATGGGTGTGAGCCACCATGTGGTTGCTGGGAATTGAACTCAGGACCTCCAGAACAGCAGTCAGTTCTCTTAACCTCTGAGTCGTCTCTCCAACTCTCAATGGAAATTCTTAATCATCCCTAACCAAGTTCCAGGGGCTCTGATGCCCTCCTCTGACTTCCCTGTGCACCAGGCATGCACATGGTACACAAACATACATGCAGGTAGACAAAGCACTCATATACATACATCTCCCTCAGTCTGGCCCCTCCTGGCTGTCTGGCCTTGCCCCACTATCGCTCTTGTCTTCACTCCTCCCTCTCACCCTTCTCTGGCACCAGTCAAGAACTTTCTTCCCCTACACACCTGGCTGTTACACAAGTGAAACTACCAATGCACTTCTGGGATCACTGACGCAGACCCACTGGGGTACCCTGACTGCCACTAGCGGGGTTCAAATAAAGTCATGTGGGGGATATAATCAATTTGTGACATGGGCACAGGAACATCCAATGCTGATATTTCTTGATAAGAGAATTTGGAAAGTCAACAAATATGAGAAGGAACATAGGAATGCTCGCAACCTTTCTCAGTTTCTAGAGAACAGTTACCATAAATGATGTTCCCATAACCTCAGATCTGTTTTTCTTAAGACAAATAGCATTCCTGTGCTTTATATAACCTTGAACTTGGTGCTTTGTAAAACAGGCTTCTCTGCTAAACTGAAAACTCTGTAACTTTGTTATCAAAGAGCTGTAATTTAAAAAAAAAAAAAAACTTGTGCAAATTGCACTTCAGTGATTGGTTGTCATTTGAATACTTAGTTTCCCCGCTTCCCTTCTTCTGACTTAAATCAGGATTTGACCAACCTCTCCCAGCCCCATTCACCTGGAAGATGTCAGATGCGCTGCCACTGCAATTTCATAAGAGCAGTTAGGGTTACCTCTTCAAAGGGTGGAGATGATGAAAACAGGAGATAAAATTTGGCCAGGCAATATATGATAAAAAGACCTCAAATAAAGTAACGAGTTTCTCTCTTGACTAAAAGTCATAAAAGTCTTCGGGCACCTTAAAGCTTCCTCCTTGCCAAAACAGAGATTTTAGATGCCCTGATCTCTGGCCTGGTTCCTAAATGAAAGGTTACAACTGTTGTGGAATATCCCTTTACACTGTGTGAAGATGTATCACGGTGACTGGTTTAATAAAGAGTTGAGAAAAAAAAAATAAGGAGTTGAATGGCCATTAGCTGGGCAGGAAGAGGTTAGGTGGGACTTCTGGGGACAGAGAGCTCTTCACGTGAAGAGGAAAGGAGGAGTTGCCAGCGGAGGCAGAGGGAACAGACATGCAAGACAAGTAAAAGCCACGAGTAGCGAAGCAAGACCCAGATGAGTAGAATGGGTTAATTGAAGTTATAAGAGCTAATGGGATAAGCCTATTATAAGAGCTAATGGGATAAGCCTAAGCTATAGGCCGAGCTTTCATATTAAGTCTCCATTTTTTGTGAGCTGGAGGCCCATAGAAATATCCGTCTATAAATGACATCTAACATGGAGGCTCAATTATTCAAACATAGGGCCTAAGAAAGCGCAAAAAAAAAAAAACCCGGCAGTGGTGGCGTGAGCCTTTAATCCCAATATTCGGGAGGCAGAGGCAGGCGGATCTCTGTGAGTTCAAGCCAGCCTGGTCTACAAGAGCTAGTTCTAGGATAGGCTCTAAAACTACAGTGAAACCCTGTCTTGAAACAACAACAACAACAACAAAAAAAAAAAAACATTTCTGGACAAAGAGCCTAGTCCTACATCCTGCAGTCTCTCAGGTAGGCTGGTGTTTAGCGGCATATAAAGGTGTGGCTACCTGCTGCTGCCTGTGGGCTGAGCCGCCAGAGTGGTGACTGACTAGCAATTTAAGATTTGTCTCATGTGAC